CAAATTTCTTGAAGTTTATAGCAACTTTATCTTGTAACATGAAGAGGTTTTCAATTTTCAATAAATTTATTTTCACTTTGGGGAATTTTATTTGGGGATTTTCAAAGAGTTTGAACTTTGCACCCTTCATAATTTCAAGATGAAACTTCCTAAACAATTAGAATTAAGAAAGATGATCCCAAATATAACGAAAGGAACAAGAAGCAGACAATTTCATTGTAAAATGCACTGATTTTGGAGACAGCAGATGAATTAGACATATTATAATAGTCACCAGTCTAGGAGATATATCAACTTCCGTTGTGCTTCACGGGTCTAACTTAGGACCATTATTGTTTTCTCTTTTCATTAATGATTTGGCCAATTGTCTTGAATCAGAAAAAATAATTTATGCAGACGATCTTAAATATATTTGCTGATGTCTAGTCAGGATGACTGTATTTTCATGGTGTGCAGCTAATGACTTATTGTAAGCAAAAAATTATATGTAGAATTCCCTTATCTCCTGAATGGCGGGTGTTTTGTCACGCAATTTGTCTGTCAAAGATCTAGGGGTTTTCTTTGATTCGAAACTAAGGAATTGCAAAGGCTTAAATGATAGTATTGCTTTGAAAACATTATATTTTGTTTACTCTGATCTAAACTCGAACATTTTGAATCCACATTTCTAGGAATTACATAAATATGAAATGTACTTTTTCAAAGTTATCCACAGAGAGGAATTGATTATCAGTTATTATTAGATAGCTTTAAGTTTGGAAAACAAGAATTTAGCAGATTTCTTGCCTCTTTATTATACCTTTATAAATTGTTACATAATTATTTAGTACAGTCTGTTCGCTATACTTACGCGGGTTTCGGATTAACAAAATTATGCAAATTAGTCATTGACAACCAGTTCCAATAACCCAATTCCAAAGAAATTAGGTAAAATTGCCCTAATGGTCAGATTTAAATAAAAATAACATTAGGGTAGGTACTAAATTTGTTACAAATATTGCAGTTGAATTGATTCTTTGCAAGTGTTGACATTGTATGAATATCGCAAATTTAGTGGAAATTTTAAAAATGCCTATACGTGTGTTAGATGTAGATAGTCTAATTTGTAGTGTACATAAGTATTTTATGGATGAAAAAGAAAATGGTGGTCCTTTAAAATCGGTAATGTCTGTACAACAACGCGTATGCGATGCTCTAGGAATTGGTGAAACCAAATTAAGAGGAGTATTACAAAATCACAATAGTGAACTGCCGAAAGAAGATCACCGCAAAACTCGCCCATCATTGAAAACGAAAGATATTCCAGATGGAAAGAAATTTGAAATTCGTGATACCATTTATCGAATAAGGGCCAACAAGGAACATGTGACCTTAAATACAATTCTCTCGGAATTAATAGATAGAAAATTTGACGACATTGGCAGAACAAGTCTATGGCAAGTGATACATAACTTGGGTTTCAAATTTCAAAAGGAGGATAACAGAAAGGCCCTTTGTGAAAGAAGTTCTGTCGTACACAAGAGAATTGACTTTCTAAGAAAATATTCTAAATTTAAAGAAGAAGGGGCGAATTTTATATATTTAGACGAAACATGGATATTTTCTAGGGGTGCAACCAAGAGAATATGGCAAGATGGATAACGTAAAGTCCATCAAACATACCGATGGAGAAAAGAAGCGACACATAATTTTACATGCAGAAGGGAAATCGGGTTTTATAGAAGGTGCTGATTTAATATTTTCATCTAAATCAAAATCCAGTGACTATCACGATAATATGAACACAGAAATGTTTGTAAAACGGTTGCATGAAAAGCTTCTCCCAGGTTTAAGTAAGCCCAGCGTAATTATTTTAGACAATGCGCACCTTACCATTCTGAAGTATTAAACAAAAATCCAACCAATTCTTGGACTGTTGATAAAATTAAAGAATGGTTGACAAAGGAACATATACCATTTTCTCAATATATATTAAAATCAGAATTAATACGCTTGGCAAATATACACGCAGAACCAAAAACCTTTGTTGTGGATCAGATTATTGAAAGTTACGGTCATCAAGTTTTACGTCTGCCACCGTATCATTGCCAGTTTAATCCCATCGAATATATATGAGGAATAGCAAAACAATAATATGACAACCATATTGGGCCTAATGGTTATAGTGACAACGCAGTTCTGGAAACTTGGCGAGAAGCACTTTCAATTGCAACTCCAGAAGTGTGGCGGAACTGTATATCCAAGTGCGTAAAACTAATAGAAAATTCGTGAAAATAAAATAAACAAAATAAGTCCAATCATAATAACAATTAATGGTGATGACAGTGATGATGATGACGACTATGATATTTTGGATGATAATGACTGATTTTCATTTTTGTTGGCAAGTTCAATTTTTTTATTTTTCATTTGAAATTCTCTACATGGAACAAATTTTTATGTTAGAAAATATTTTATTTGAGCTAAATAACCCTCTTATTATACATAGACCATATTTTATGTGTAAAGTGTAATATAAAATTATTATTAGGTTTATAATAGCCACATTAGACTCCATTAATGAAGAAGTTTAATTCTGCTCTCAATTATACAAAAGATTCTCCATTATTATTTAATTAAAAAGTTGTACATTATTTTTCATTTCATTTAACCAGTTGATATTTCCCCAAAGAACAGGTTAAACTCTCGGGTACTTACCTGGAAATACGCATAAAATTTTTAATCCGAAACCCGCGTAAGTATAGCGAACAGACTGTACTGTAACTTAATTTATTTATACTAAATATTTCGACGGGTCTTGATAGATGATTAGCTTCGACTAATAGGTACGGGAAAGGGCGTCTCCTGCGGATTTATATTATCGAATATTCTTGGTAACGGGAAATGTGGAGGCCGTAAATGACCCAAATAAGGCAGAGAAGGACTTAAGGAATTAGAGTAGGCCCTGACTGGTCAAAAACTACTCGTTTGACAGTATTTACGTAATCTAGTTAAATTTTATGTACCATAATTTAATAATAGGCAACATTTTACTTTTTGTTTTAACACAAATATTCTTATCGAATCGCCAGTAAATAGGATGTGCTTTATGTGATCTTTTATAGAAGTTTTGATGAAATTAAGCTTATAGCACGATATTTATAAGTTATATAGCTAAATAACCAAGCAATTTCAACATTGCTGTATCCATCTCAGTTAAAAATTAATTAAACAAATTTCATTAATATATAAAAAAAATAGTCAGCCTGAGTAGGTAGGTAACAAAACTGAAATAAAAATTGTTATCTCTTGCTCGCTAATTGTGTAACGTACATTCGAGTTAACTACAATCTTAGAATTATGTTGATTCTGAATTTGAATTGCAGATTTTACCAATTCGTGTTGGTTAAAGGCGCTAAAATGAATATTCCGTTAACCTTTTTTTTTATTAAAACCAACCTTGACAAAGGCACTACCGAACTAGCACAGATAAGGACAATTGTAAAAAAAATATAAATCACTAGCTATTTCAGGTTTATATTTATATGTACATGATATACCATATAACTGAATATATAATATATGTGGATAATGGAAATACGATTTGTGACACCTCCATACAGATCCTAACGCAATTAAATTACGAAACAAATTTATTATTAGGCCTCGTCAGGCAAAAGTAGACTAGTCAGAACGACGACATCTGCCTTATACAAGACCTACAAGTTAAATCACCAAAATTAAATCACTTTATGAACTTGTTTAAACTAAAATTTATCATAAATATCAACTTTGGGTATAACATATAACGAAATACTCTATTTGATAATTTTTCTTAATATATCTGAATAGTTTCCAAAAAATATTGAATAAAAGTAGCGCCATCTACAAGCAAAATCATTATTTCATGACACATGGTTTTGAGAATTTCTTGTTGCACTTTATTTTTCTTTTTAAAGTTCCTTAATTTTTAAACTTGGTGCCAAATTCGACTAATTTTGCTGGATGTCTTCAATACAATCTTGCCAGATTTAAGATCTGTTGAAATACTTTGGTAGTGCTTTAGTTGGTTCATTTGTTGGTTGTGTTGTTGAAGTAATTATTACATTTTTCATATTAATTTACCAATTCATTTTGTTGAGTTGTGACTTTTTAATATCAAAAGTCTCAAAAAATGTTTTACAGATTTGTGTTTTAATCTAATATTTATATATAAAAATTAAATGGGCACTTTTATTTCTCTCTTTATTACATTTGCAAATATAAAGTTGTTTCACTACGTTGATTATCTGGAAAAACCGCTTGATTTTTGTTGGTCTGACGTCATCGACAACATCTACTACATATTTTAAATTTAAATAATTAGCTTTATTTTAACCAATAATATTTAAAATGCGAAAGATAAGTTATCGTATAGCAGTAATACAGAAAAAAGTCTATTACCTATTCATAGGATAGTAATGACTAAAAACTATTGTGAAAATATATTTCTATCAAAATAAAAACACCCTTATATTTTAACGTACTCATTGAATCGTCAGTCACACATTCGCCCATACACTTGTGAATTGGTAAATATACGACTATTTTTCTTTCAATTTTCGGCAATGACTATTCCTCTAACACTTCCTTTCAAAAACCATTTGAATAAGCAATTAGTAAGCCCCTTTGGCTTTCATAGCAGACGGTTCTATAAATAACATACAAATATAGGGGTGGGCCTTTTGGTTTTTCAGCTGCCCCTGAGGTTATCGTTGAATAATCAGGACCGTACCGCTGTTCCTTTTTTTTAAGGAATAAAAAATTCGTATACACACACAATCAACTAAATATATAATCAAAAAATATCCTGTATCATTTTTAATTTGGCGAACTATAGAATTCTGTATTCATCCTTTCCCATAAACTCTATGTAACTGAATCAAAAACTTTAAATTTTACTTATTAGTTTCGGATTTAATTATAGATTTTGGTTTCTATACTCAAACTTTTTGAAACAATAACGTTTATTTTTGTTACAGCGAGAACCAAACCGGAAAATCTAGAAGACACATACGGAGCCTTAGTAGATGAAGACGTCCAAAACGACGATTACGACTACGGCACTGGGGATCCGGATAGTGCTCCAGACGAGGAGAATAATAATGTGGTGGCCGCTGAAGAGCATGTGGAATTCATCACGCCGCCGAGAGTATTTGTGGCAAACATTGGGGACACGTTAAAATTGCCTTGTGAAGTGTCTAATACTGGTAAGTGTGGAAGACCTTCTTCGTAATTAAACTTAATATATAGGATTTAGGTATTTGTATCTAGAAAATCTCTATACCGACCCTATATACAGGTCGTCGTAGAAATAAGCACCTAGACTTTAATCCATTCAGTGGATTTGTCTCATCAATTGCAATACCAAGAAATATTAAAATTGTTGGAAAATGATGATTGGTCCGATATCGATGTCTGCTTTTTTTTGTTTTTTTTTTGTTAGAGTATTGTTACTAGTCATTACTGACTAACCTACAATTTTAATCTAAAAATCTTATTACTTATCTAAGAAGGCCCCATTGGGTTGTCTTAATTGTTTCTATAGGAAAGCATCACAAGTTGGCGTGACGATTTATTACACTGTTTTACACTAGCACTAATATTAACATTCACTGCACTAGCTCAAATGGCTTCTTCCTTTTGAGCCTTCTGTTGAGTGTAGAGTTGTCCAGTAATTGCAGCGCTTCTTCGTTGACGTGTGAGTGGAGTCGACCCTCATGTTTCTCAGCAAACCTCTTTATTTCTTCTTCGATTGTTGGCATCTTCAGGTCTCTATGAAGATAATCGTTTCGGTAGAACCAAGGTGCATCAACAATGCATCTTAGGACTTTATTTTGGAAAACTTGTATCATGTTGATATTACTCTTGCTGGCACAGCCCCATAGCTGTATGCCATAAATCCAGATTGGTTTTAGGATTTGTTTATAAATCAGCAGTTTGTTGTGCACTGACAATTTGGATTTTCTTCCTAAGAGCCAATACATTTTTTAAATTTAAGTTCAAGTTCTTTACGCTTTTTTTAATGTGCTCTTTCCATTTCAGTCTTACATCTAGGTTCATCCCTAGGTATTTGACCGAATCGTGATGCGGAATAACGTAATTGTTTATTCTCATTTATTTTTGTTCATTTGGTCGAAGAGTAAAATCAACATGCACTGAGTTAGTTTGATTTATTTTTATTTTTCACTTTTTTGTCCATCGATTGATTCTGTTGCAGGTTTTCTGACGTTTTTCTGAGGTCTCTGTATTAGTTTCGCCAACTGCCAATATTGCAGTGTCATCCGCAAATGTTGCTATTTTAACAGATTGTTGTTGAGGGATATCACTGGTGTATAATAAGTAAAGAACCGGTCCTAGCACACTGCCTTGTGGGACACCTGCTTTAATTTCTTTCATTTCGGAGTATGCCTCGTTTTGCTTTACTCTAAACATTCTTCCCGTTAGATATGATTGTAGGATGTCGACATATTGTCTAGGGAGCATTTTTTCAAGTTTCTGTATTAGGCCAGCGTGCCAAACCTTGTCAAATGCTTGGCTACGTCAAGAAATATAGCTGAGCATATATATTTTTATTCGTCGGGATCAGATTTTTATTTTCAATTATTGGTTTTAGTCGTTTTAGTAGTAGTTTTTCAAATAACTTAGATATTATCGGTAACAATGATATAGGTCTATATGATGACACTTCATTCAGAGGTTTTCCTGGCTTAGAAATTAGGATAACTTCAGCAATTTTCCACGCTTCAGGTATATATTTAAGGCGAAGTGCTGCATTTATGAAGTATGTTAATTTAACAATAGCTTTCCGTGGTAGTTTCTTTATTATTTCTCCAGTAATAAGGTCATATCCTGGGGCTTTCTGTGAGTTGATGTTTGTCTGAATTTCTTTCGTAACTTCATTGGGAGTAACTAGCTTAATTTCAAGTTGTTCCATATTATGGATGGTCTCATTAGGAGTGTCTTGATTTTCATCAAATTGGAACGTCTTTTGTAGGTGGTCAGCAAAAATATCAGCTTTTTGTTGATCGTCTCTTGCCTATTTGTTATCTGCTATTCTGATAGGCGAACAGTTTTTCATCTTTTTAGTTGCCTTCCAGAGTGAATAATCAGTTTCTTTATCATCTGTTAGCCCTACTAGGTATCTGTTGAAGGATTCTTCTTTGTGATTTAGGATTTCTCTTCTCAGTCTTTGGGTAGCCCTATAATAATGTCTGCTGATGATAAAAAATGGGCAGATTATAAAAGTGGCGATTTTGTAGACTTTATGAATGTGGATAACACAGAGACTGATGCTGATGCTGACAGTTGCAAAAAAAAAAACGAAAGATAAACTGAAACTTATGAAGATGTAGCAATAGAAGTAATTGATGAGGAAAAAATAAGTAACGAAAAACAAATTGAAGCTTGCTAAAAAGGCAGAAACCGTTGTCAAGCATTTTATTCTCGTCATAATTGTATCTTACTTTCTTACTTGTAGTGTTTTATCATACTCAATAAATATATTTTTCCAAATAGTAAATATAATTTTTAAATGAAGATCATGGAGTGGATTTGTTCCTACACAAGGACCTATAAAATAAATCGATAATATTTTTCTTTTGCCAAATTTTGTTAATTTGGTATATGCTAAGTACACAATTTTAATACCATTTTTTGCTGTACTTTTTTATAAGTTCCATTGGAAGGGTTAACCGCGTATGTAACTTATCAGAAGCAACCACTGCTGTCATATAATATTATTTTTTCTCAGATTTCTTTTTTAAACAGATCCTACAAAGTGCTTTGTACTTTTGCAGAATTAGTCATGCAAAAAGTTTTTTGCAGTATTAGTAGGTGAAAAGAAAGAAAAATAAGAAACATTTAATAATTGGATTTTAATAGATGGAAGAATTACGGATGATCTTAAAGATATTTTGAAAACAATGACTTCATTCTTAAAATGCTCTAGCTTCCGTGGAAACCGTTTTGGTGTCAGGTAAATCCATTTAAAAAACCAGTTTTAAATTTCACATTAACATTGTGCAGAAACAACGGCCAGAGAAAGCTTTTGAAGAAAAATACAGGGCAAAACAAAGAGAGATACAATTGAAAACAAGATCTTTAGATGATAACTAAAAAGCAAAATAAAATAGTATGATAGCTACGATACATAGGACATGTATGCCCCACGAAAGAAACACAACTTAAAACCTATCAATTAACCATTGCTAATATAAACAAATTCATAAAGAAGGAATACCAGAGGAAGGTTAAGAAAAACGTAAAATGAGAGAATATGACAAATGTAGAAAAAGGGCGTAATAGGGTAAGACCAAAAAAGAACTAACAGAAGTTAGAAACAAATGAAAAAACATGCAATATAACAAACTAACCCAACTTCACCCGCCTTTAACGGTAAAGAGACTATAATAGGAAAAAGATAAAGACATTTTGTTTAATTGAGAATGCACAGTTTCTAAAAGGGCAGTATCCAAGACCAGAATATCTTGTCCAGCTGTGAACATATGAGATATATAAGAAAAAATTTATCCTAGTGAATTCCGAGATTCCTGAAACGCTTTTAGTTAAATATGTCAAAGGAAATCTTGAGGTTGTTTTGAGGATAATTCCTCCTTTTTGAATCGGTTCGTTACTAAGAATAAAACGTGGGCCCATCACTATGACCCAGAAACTAAAGAGCAATCCAAAGATTGAAAGCATTCTGTTTCTCCATGACCAAAATCGGTTGACAAGGTTTTGACATCACTTTACTGGGCAAAGAAATACATTATTTGGAAGAGGGTAAAATTATTAGCATGTACTGAGCTGCCAGCCGCCAGAAAATTATGAAAAGCTTGCCAAAGGTGTTCTCTTTTTGCCTTTGCTGACAAGTTGATTGCGATGCAAAAAATGTATGAGGTTGGTTCTGAATTGGTTTACCATCCACAATATTCTATAGATTTAGCATCATCTGATTATTATTTGTTCCTATAACTTAAGAAATATTTAAAAAGTAAAAGTTTTTCGACAAGTGATAAAGTCATATGTGCCGTTGAGGAGGGGTTTGCAGACGAAACCAAAGAATTTGTACAATAACTTTGTCTACAATTATGTTGTGCTAAATGTGTTAAGTTTTAAGGATATTATATAGAATAAATTAAATTTTATTTTTACATATTGTGGCGTATCAATTTCCTAAGAGTATTTTTTAATTTTTTTCAGACATTGTTATGATCTGGCAAAAAGAAGACAATCTTCTTTTCCAAGGAGGTGTTCCGGTGGAAAAAGTAGAAAATATCGAAGAAATCGATAATAGTACTTTAAAAGTAAAAATACTATCTAATGCAGATTATGGCAACTACGCTTGTATCCTTATGACCACAAATGACGTCAAAAGCAGACCAAAGATCGTCCACCGCATTGTGGCACCGGCTCCACCAGTTATCCTGGGTATTTGGACAAACAAAAACAACGAAACTGTGGTAAGTAACTACCTTTTTTCTACGATTTTGTCTTGAATATTGGTTATAGTTTTAAGAATCTAGGTTTTTTTCAAAATATCTCCATCTTGCATCGGCATTGGGTTATGATTTCTCATTCGGTCAGGACATCCATAATTATTATTGTAAATAATACTTTGCCAAATTAAACTTTCAAAGTTCGTTAATTGAAAATTAGTCATCGATTAAAAAAACAAAATGTGAAATTTTGTTGTGTCATCTAATTAATTCAATACAATTTAAATATTGATTTTATTGTTATAATCAGCATCCAACACACATCCTTAATTGTCTCTATAAATAAGAGAATAAAATCTATTTATGTATCATATCCAAAAATAGTGTATAACTACGTAGGAAGGATACTAAAAAATATCAAAGTCCATGAGCCTACATTTCCTCAGCGCATTTCATGTAGAATTGTATACAATATTATTACATCTAAGCGCCTACAAAATTTAGTATAACGTTGACTAAATATATTGTTACGCAGCACCCTGCAGTAGCCTGCGGCTATTATAGGAAACGTACAGATAGAAAAAGAAGTGGAATGTTACTCATCGCCCCACAGTGTGCTGCGGTTGTCATAAGTAAAAGTACAAGTAAAAGAAGATAGAACAGTCCAGAAATGTCTGGAAATGTCATTACCCGTCAAGAATATTCTAGACGACAGTTTGAGAAAGGTCAAGCAAGCTATATATGATGCGTTTGATTTGATCATCGGAGATCTCCGAGCGCTGCATAAATGTTTGAATTGACACTCCGAGCGATCTCAAAAGTGTTTGTTTCACTTTGGAGCGAGCACATAGAGCTAGCTCGACGTTCTCAGAGCAGAAGGATCGAGAAGACGGAGAAATTTGTCTTTGTCCACATACTTTGATTTTCTCTTACTATACGGAGAATGGTCGCACTGCGCAGCTTTCTGCGTGCCTTTTAAAAGGAGATAGAAAACTCCGCCATTTTGATGCCTTATTACGTGTTGCCTACATACTGTCTAAATACCAGGATGTATAGACTACCAGTTTAACATTTAGGAAATATATGTGTTGCCTAACCTAGTAGTAAAGGCACAGTTTATTGCTAAAGAATCAGTTAGCTCACTCGGACCAGTTGGATATTCCAAAATAACATCCACTCCAGGGATACAAATTTAGGATGCGCAGAAGACTGCTGTTTGAATATAGGCGGTTGTCATATATTGTATTATCCGAGTTGCGCAGTGTATAAACTGGAACATTGAGATCCAAAGTGCCGATGCAGAGTGAGCGAACTGATTCTTTAGCTATAAACTGTGGTAAAGGCATCAAAATGGCCGCGCCCTATGTTGGGCGTGTCGGACCTCTCTCTTTCACCGTATAGTAATCAAAGTATGTGGGTTTTTCTAATTTGGTAACATTATTACAGTTCATCAAATTTCTAGAGGCTTTCGACGGCTAGACAGAGAAAGCACTACTGACAGGCATCCCGACGGATTTACGCAATGAAAGTACACTCTGCGCATCAAGTATTTCACTATTTCATTCTGACGTAAATGTCAGATGTAAATTTCGCTAAAACATTTCTTTTATTTTCGTTTGTGTTTTTTGCTCATTACAGTTTAATAGAACCTAAGTATGGAGTTTAATAGCAAATTAAGAAGCCGCGTGATTAACAGTCAATCTCGCGAAATAATAGCCAATGTTATAGAGTTTATGAGAAGAGAAGGAAACTTTAATACCATTTAAAAATGTAAATGATCGTGTTGCTGCAGCCACAGGAGTATCTAAAAACACTGTCGTCCGCATTTCTGGAGAGAAAAAAAGAATCGATAACCGTGAGATATCGGAATTTTCATCACCAAGAAAAACCATTAAAAAACCAAAAACAGTTAATGATATAGATGAAGCTGCACAAGAATCAAATTTTATTTTTTTATTATTAGATAGCTATTTTTGTTTCTGAGTTGTGTTCATTTACAGGCTCAATTTTTTTCCGTTTCTCCTTTTTGATTTTATATGGGGTTTCAAGTTGTTTTTGACTTATTTCGACGTAAATCACAACAACACACTTTTTTAATAAAGCAAACAAGTGTTAAGAGGTATATGTACGTGTAAACTACAATTACAAAAAATTGATATGAAACCCATGAAACCACCAACAAAAATGTAAACCTAGCTTCCGTACTAGAACATGGTGTCATTCGTCGAGATAATTTATCGTTTTGTTTAATAGATCAAGAAATGTAAATATTCCCCTGTTATTTTTTATAAAATTATAAGAGAAATAAATTTTTTTCTAAATAGTATAGTTTATTTTGTAGAAAAACAAAATTTCGAAAATTTTAGTAATGTTTCAGAAACAACCATTATTAATAATAGGTACCATTTTCCTTAATAAGGTAGAAATAAAATATAAACTATTTCCACGATTTACAAAGACCTACAAAAAAATTATAGGTATTTTCCGCTATCCTATAAAATTTATATTTTCTGACTCAATTTCAAAAGGTTGAAGGAATTCCAAAACACCTTTTATGGCATAATAATTATTTTCAATTCTACATACTATCTTTAGCTGCTTTTAAAAACGTTCTAAGAAAGTCCAATCAGACCGATTTAATCCCTAAACTATTCCACACTTTTAAAATTTAATTACCCAAAAAATTAAAAACTATTTAAAATAACTTGTTTAGCAGACTGTACAATAGCTATCTTAGTCACACGTAGCGCGTTCTCTGTCTGGGCGTCGAACACCTCTAGAAATTTGATGAACTGTACCTCAGCAGTTTTCCATAGTATTGGAATTCTATTATAATTACAATTATATTGGTCAGTTTTATTATACCTTCTCGTGGTAGTTTCTTTAGATCGAACCCGAGAGCTTTTTTACATTAAAATTTTATTTCCCTTTGTATTTCTTTAGGACTAGTTAATAATATTTTCCTATATCATTCACTTTCTTTTGGTTACCCATTTCAATTTCTTCAATTTCTCAGGGGTTTGGTGGTAGATGCGTTCTAAATAGTTAGAAAAAGCTTCGACTTTTTGTTTGCAACTTCTTGCCCACATCCTTAGATCCCACATCCCATTTTCTGTTCGTATTGGCGGTATGTGTTGGATTGGTTTACTTTTTTGACAGCTTTCCATAATAAGTAATCAGTAATTTTGACATATGTGAGCTATCTCAGGTATTTGTTGGTTGACTCATGTTTGATCCCTTCGTGGCTGTTGTGTAATTTGTTTTTGTTCTCTTCAGTTATATATTTATGAAATTTGCAGCAATATTTCTGGAAACAAAAATGCCCAGGTGAGATATTTTGATTATATTTCTTAGCCAATATGTAGGTCTTCTCGTGGATTGCCACCTAAATTTCTAATCTTTAATAACGAGGTGCAGGTTTTCCTTTGTTTGTAGTAAGTCTTGAGCCCCAGCAGACATTTTTTTGGTTAAAATAATTTCAAATAAATTAAGAACACTGCTCCAATTGATAAAAATAAAATGTTCACAGGTCATAACCTCCAAAAAATATTAACTAATATTGTACACAGTGAAATGTGTCAAATTTTCAAGAAAATTTTAGATTTACAAAAAACTGAAAGGCATAAAGCGGATAAGTATATGTAAATATGATGAAAAAATAAAATATTCCAATAAGAAACTGGACTATGAAGAAATACATTATTTATTTTAATAAAAATGTTAAAAAACAGTACACATGCCTTTCCTCTTTGAGCTTTCATCCATTATTCTGCCGCTACCTAGCTCAAAAAAATGATCAATCAATTTAAATCAATTTTATAACTTCAACAATACAAGACGTGCATTAAATGTTTCAGATATAACGAGAATTTATATTGATCGACTTAACACAGAATTCTAGGGAATAATAAAGAGTAATTTAAAAAAAATGGGTAGGTAACAACTAGTAATTAACCAGTTGCCTTAAACAACACACCTGAATGTTCATTAATGTTATAAAAATACATTGTTGATGCCTGTAACATAGGTGTATATTAACATATTGCATATTAATTACCTAATTATTCAAATTTTCCCGATTTTTGAATTTATGTTTGGAATGCTTTAGCGATAAGGCCGAAAATTTTAGGGAGTTGCCGTTTTTTTAGCTATCCGAAGAATGTGAAAGAAAATACGTTCAATGTATTACAAAATTGTTGAATAACCGTTGTTAGATAAAATTTTGGTAATATTACTTTGATTCCATTTTGAATTGTGAATTTTGTTTTGTGAAAGATATATTTTGTTCAAAGGTCAAATTACAGTTAAATTTAAAAATAAATTTTGATGGTTTTTTGCAGGAAAACATTAACAATATATAATTTAAATCGTAGAGGGTATTCAACTCTTCGAAGATGATGTAAGAATAGTCACAGGCTAAACCTCGCCCAAGCTAATTATACAAAAATATTACCTACTTTTTATTCGGTCGAGCATTGTTCAACTAAAAATCTACACGTTTCGAGGACAAATCCCATTCCAAATTTGCTTTAAGTTGCGTTTTTGGTTATGAGGTGTTCGCCATACCATTTTCTAGTGGTTTTAGCTGCATCTTGCTGAAAAATGTAATTTTCTACAAAATTTAACTTCACGATACTTGGTAGCATTCATTCTTCAGCATTCACAAATAAGTTATTTATGACTGCTTGTCTCAAAGAGCTTTTATTAATTTATAGTCACTTTATTTTCATTGGTCCCTATTTTATTTATTTCTCAAATATACTCAAAATACGATAAAATTTTAAAAAATGTACATTTAACACATACTTTAAGTTTCAGTATTATCTAGTGGAAATATCTAACTTCTTAGCCCTCATTAAACTTTAATGTTGTTTCTAGGGTTGTTCGTTACACGGATCGTAAGACTAATGATAACTTGGCTAAACTATTTATTTATACAGAGAGAATAAAACAAATACAGCAAAGATGAAAAATCGTGATTCTGTGTGAGAAACAAAAACAAAAAAGAAACGGAACGAAATGGA